ATGGTGTGATGATGACTTTAATTCTGCATTTCAGTGGAATTTTGTGACAAAAAAAAAAGAGTTGATAATTTCAAGATAAGTGTTGGTAAAATGTTGGTAATGTATTTCTCATATTTCTTCCAGACATAGCTAAACAGTAGCAATACATTTCCCATGTTGTATCTAAATAATACCCAAACAGTAACCATCCATTGCAGATAATGCATTATGCAGTAATGTATTACACCAATAATATATTTCACAGACAATATATTTCCAGGTATCCAAATGACCCCTAAAGGACAAGAATGATTACCACCTTCTTGTACTAAAAATAAATGGTTTTTTTGTTTACCTATGACATAAGAAGGTCACAATTATTTATAATCATTCCATGTGAAATCAGATAGTTTGGGTGTGTTACAAAATTCGAGAAAATTCCTTTTGAGGCTTGAGTTTGGTCAATGCAATAAATGCAACCATCCATTCCAATTTCTCATCTAATGGTGAAAGATTAATTGTGATTACCTTGTACCAAAGATAAATAGTCTCATTGTATATTTTTCTTTTATCATAATATCTTATTAATATTATATTATTATTATACATTATTAATGTATGCCATTATTATTTACATAGTAATCTTATTATTACCTTGCTCTTAATAAGGAAAATTGTTTCATGTTGGTTGGACTGCATTGCTCCAATATGTGTTCAAAGGTATAAAGCATCCATCTTAAAGATGGAGACAAATAGGTGGTCCATCTAAAAACAAGTTTAACTAACTGTTCAAATGTTTTTTTAATATAATTATTATTCCTGGTTTTCAATAAAAAAATAAAAAAAATCTCATATTCATGATCTCCATGTTAAGGGTTATGTATCCTCTAAAATTAGGATCAAATTATATTTAAAAAATATATTATTTGCCAAGCCCACATTTCTACAATATGTGGGCTGGCTGCATAGAAACCCTGTCCTCTTAATAATATTATATGACTATTATTACTATAATATAATAATATTAGTATTTTCTTTTTCTTATAATATTATAATATTAGTATTTTCTTTTTCTTATAATATTATAAATTACTTGAATATTTAAATAATATTATTGTTTGGATATTAATTCCACCTAGGGCTGGCAATGAGCCAAGCAAGGATCGCAGCCCTATACCTCTAAGAGCCAGACTTGGCATGGTCGTAGCTCTATCAAGGTCGGTGCTGGTTAAAAGCAAAAAAGATAAAAGGAATTGACCATGCAGAAACGGGACGTCCGCCTAAAGGTTATTCAGTGGAGCGTGCCATGCTGTTAATCACGATTGTAGACAAGGTAGCTTAAACAATTATACTTAAAAAAAAAAGAAAAAAAAAAGAAAAAAAAAGAAAAAGAACTCTGAGTGTTTAAACTGTGAAAAGAAAGTATGTACCTATCAGGTTAATATAAAAGGTGTATATGGTAATCTGTATATTTGGGAAGGTGTATATTGTAATCGGTATATATGGGAAGAGTAGGTACAATATCTTGTATTTTATGGTAAGATTGGGTAGAGTATAGATATTTGTGATTTATTTCTATTTTTGTCCTTTGTATTTGTCTATTTAAGGCAAGCTTGTATATTCATAAAAGTGCGGTTTGTATATAGCCTAGGCTCTAAACAATCAAATTAGAGCCTACCTTCAAATAGTATCGAAAAATATGGTTTCAAATCTGGAAATCTTTTTGATAGCCTTAAAATATATTTTCATCTTTATTTATAAAGTTTAAAGCTTCAAAAATAATGTAGATTGAGAGATCTATGAAAACTTGAAATTCTTGAAAATTAACGGTCCAAACGTGCATTACAAAATACACTATTTCCAAAATTTGAAATCCATTTTTTTTCTCATGTCCATACATCTTGATGTCAAGATGATGAATTTGAGGATATTTGGGCATCAAAACAATCTCTTCTAGTGAAATTTTTGAGGTAAGCTCAAATTTGATTGTTTAGAGCCTCGGCTCTGTATAAACTTTTCCTTATTCATAATCTGTCTCTCTGCCGAGTCGTGTTTCAATTCTCTAATCTATTTGATCTCCTCCGCGTAGACTCTTTGATCTGTTTGATCTCCTCCGAGTCGACTCTTTGATCCGTTTGTTCAGAGAGCAATTTAAGCATGACAACCACTGTTTCTACTAGCTACGCTATGCACCTTAATATATTTGAGCAATTCAAACTCTAGTTGCCCTCTCTCGTAGGGAAAATGTGAAAGAAAAATATATATTGCCTTTCGGGTTAGAAGGTAGGTATATATAGTAATATGTGTATTTGGGAAGGTGTATATTGTAAGGTATTGGGAAGGGTAGGTACAATATCTTGCAATTTATGGTAAGTTTGGGTAAAGTAAAGGTGTTTGTGATTTATTTCTATTTTTGTTATTTGTATTTGTCGATTTAAGACAGTGGATACTGAGTCTCTTCAGAGAAAACTGAGACTCTTCACATAAACTAGTTTTAATTATCCTTTTTTATAAAAATTATCAACGATCTTTCATTGAGTCATTGAAAAAGTACAAACATTTGGCTCACAGGACCAAGGAAGAGAAATAAAAAGATAAAGTGAAAATTGAAGAAGGATACAATCAGATAACCATGAACTTAGCAAGCTCATCTGCCAAGGAATTACATTCTCTATTTGTAAGCTGGATTGCATGTTCTTCCCCTTAAGTGGTAATAGATCTCATCCATTGCACTAACGCATCTCCACGGCGTTGAGCTTGGATTCAAACACCATTTAATGACAATGGGTGAATCCCCTTCAATAATAAGATGAAGCACTTGACTATCTACTTTCACCAAACAGAACTCGAAACCTAAAAGCTCAACCTCAATGGTTTGACACAATAGCAGTACCTCACTGGTAGTCCATATAATGTGGCCCAAATGGTCCCTTAACACTCCGCCATAGCTTGGCTCTCATTCCATTATTCTGTACACTCCCATCAAAATTCAATTTGAGCTACGGGAAAGGAGGCGGCTTCCAAACAGAGGCTTTCCTAATTTTTTTGTTTCCTCATAAACAATAAATCGGAAAAATTGGCTCCAAAACTTGTAAGCCTCAAAAGGTCTCATCCTATCACCAACGATTCTTGAAAGCCTCCAAAGGTCTCATCCTATCACCAACGATTCTCACGTTTCTTTCTTTCCAAATATGCCATAGGGTGACGGCCACTGAAATCTTCCATGAGTACAAACTCTAAGGTAGAGAACATAAGAGAGCTAAGTTGCACAATTAACTGTATGTAAGACAGATTGTGGCGTTATCAAGAGCAACTTGCCTTGCCTTGAAGATGCAGCAAAATCACAGCGAACGAGTAGATGTGCACTCGTCTCCTCCTCCCTTCTACATAGAACACCCATTTACAATAATTTTCACCCTCCTTTTTAGTTGTTCCAAAGTAACATTTCTATCTCTACAAGCAAGCCATAAATTGTTCCAAAGTAACATTTCTATCTCTACAAGCAAGCCATAAGGATTTGACTCCATGCGGGACCTTGAAGTTTCAAATTCTATTTATCCCCTCGGAAATGTCAAAGAACCTATCCCTACTCGACTCCATAGAGAGATTTATCAGAGAAGGTTCCCTCTGGTTCACACCCATACTATTCTCTCCATTCTTTGCAGGGAATAAAAATGAGAGTGTCGTAGCTGGAGTACATCTGCAAACTGACGAGCTGTCCGGAAATCAACTCTCCTATATCTCAAATTCACACTCCAAACAATATCACATAAAAAACCAGGCAGGATTTACTCTATATACTTCCGGGAAAGCAAATTGAAGGGGCCGACCCCCAATCCATTTAGCTGACCAAAATTCATTCTCGTGCATGCTGAAAACAAAGGTCTCACCTTTTCAATGGCCCTTGATATTACCGATGTACCCCCACGATTGACCTTAGTTAGGAGACAAGAGAGATCAGTTCCATATTTATTGAAAAGTACATTAATGCAGACTCATTGTCTGCCATTGCCTTCTAATTCCAAGGCCCCCAAGTTTTTTAGATAAACAAACAACCTCCCATTTGACCAAATGGAACTTTTTTCTAAACCTCCACTGCAAATAAAGAGCCTCTAACTTCTGTATAATAATAGTGGGTACTCTGAATAATGAAAATTAATATATAGGAATATTAAATAATGTTGTCTTAATAAGAGTGATTCTAAAACTAGTTTTAATTGTCAATAAATTTTGGGATTGTACGGGAACTGTTTACATTTCGTAAAGACAATGCACACATGCATCAGTTTTGAGATTACTAAAATAAAACCACATTTAACGTTTATAAAGAGAGAAAAAAAAATCAAAAGTGGAGAGAGATGTTAAAGAGGAAAGGTGAAGAAAATTACTTATCGCCCACAAGGAATAGAGGATATTCAGTGGTGCTGAAAGAAAGAGAAGTCAGAGGTGAAACTTGTGTAGGCTTCAGCGGCTTGGCTCCAGCACAGGCAATACACAGCCCAGTCCAGTCTGACCCAGCTCAGCGCACATATGAAGGACTAGGGCAGTTGTGAATGTGCCCTTTACTAGACTCGGCTCAAAAAAAAATTTCTCTAACTTAATGATACACGATAAACCTATCCAATTTGACATCTAATGGCTAACAGTAACAAAGATAAATAGTCTCATAATTAATAATCCCTAAAGAGTACTTGTAAAATTCTCTTTTTATATTTTATCATTCTGTTTGTGAGGCGGTTCTTTCCTTTAGGTCTGGAAATACTCTTAATTAAAGTTTCCCTGGGAGAATGAATGGATCATATGATCCCCCTGTAACATGTAATATTCTAGCCTCACTTGACACCCATAAAAGGAATCAATATTTTTGTTTTAACAAACAAATGATTATTGATACAATAATATCTGACTTCTAAATCTGAAGGAAATATTTTTTTATGATTAAAGAATGTGAAAAAGGATATTGTTTGCATTTTTGCAATTCCCAAGTAATATTATCTTCTTCTTTCTTTTCACCAGGGAAAACTTAAATCAGGCCTCTCACTTGTTCAAAAGTATATTATGGTACATGAATCTTAATTAAAACACAGCACTTCTAAAGCGAGGGAAGGTCCACTACCATATGGTATAAAACAAATCTCGGGTATTTAAGACCCCTGTTTTCCACACAATCTCCCAAAGCATATAGAAAAGGGAGATAGATGAAGATAATACTACTGCCCTTGAAAACCAAGAGTTAATTCCTTTAACTTGCAAGGATATTTTCCGAAATAGGGCTCTCTCTCTCTCTCTCTCTATAGATAAAGATAATACTACTGCCCTTGAAAACCAAGAGTTAATTCCTTTAACTTGCAAGGATATTTTCCGAAATAGGGCTCTCTCTCTCTCTCTCTCTCTCTATCTATCTCTCTCTCTCTTGTGGAAATACTGATAAACAACCATCTGATCTGCTCCCAGTGGGCACAGAATTTACTGAAACCATCTCCTGATCTCTCCAGGTTGAGTATTTGCATCACTCTTATTATTGCTCGGGCGTGATGAAAATTTGGACCGATATTGTTCTATAAGCTCATCAAGTTTGTCCTCCATTTCCCTTTCACCGGATGACGCTTTTCGCCTTTTTTTCGCTTTGGTGGCATCTCTCTCAAGAATGTCCCCCATTTCCCTCTTGCCTGATGACACTCTTCTCTGTTTCTTCATTTTGGTATCATCTCTCTCAGGTTTGTCCTCCATCTCCTTTCTACTTGATACTTTTCTCTGTTTTTTTGCTTTGGCACCATCCCCACCATCTTCTAAACCATTTTTCCTTCTCTTAGGAGGCATTACTTCAAAACTGGCTGCAACTGCAGAAGCTCTCTTAGTTTTAGATTCCTGCAAAAACGCCATGAAGCATCATGAAAAAGAAGTGCCTAGAAAGTAATATGAGTGTAGTTATCATAATAGCCATCCCATGATGATAGAAAAGAAAAGGTTGGTTTTGTTGGACAAAAAGAACACTCTTTGATTCATTAGGAAACAAAGGAAAGAGTGTTCATACCATGACTTTTTCATCAATGGATGGCTCACTAGCATGTGCGCCTGCTTTTCTTTGGCTCAACTTGGAAAATTGCCTTCTTGATCTACCCTTTCCATCCATTGTTTTCTCTCCCTCATCCTGTGTTTTACTGATGTGGTCAATAGCTTTCTCTCTCTCATCCTGCAGTTTACTGGTATGGTCCTGCTGCGACTGTAACTTGGAGTTTCGTTTCTTTAATGTGTGGACATTTTCAAGAGCAAACTCAACAATAGGGCGATGCTCGGGACCAAATGTTCCTTAAAACACAAAAGTACTTGATTATAAAGTCAAGATCTAGCTGTTGGACGCAGCAAAATACGTAAGGTACTAAATACCCAATCTAACAGTTAAGGATACTCCTTGCCCAAGAAAATGTATGCATATAGCATGCCAGGAATTTGCAACTTGTATGGTACAGATATCCCAGTCTTTTGTAAGAATGTAAGATGAAGGTATATTCAGACAAGGGGTACAATGGTTGGTATGTGTATGTCTATATGTGTGCGTGTGCGTGTGCGTGTGCGTGTGCATGTGCGTGTGTGTGTGCGTGTGCGTGTGCGTGTGTGTGTGTGTGTCAAAGAGATATGCATATACCAAAATGAGATTTAAGATGGTATCATAAGGCCTTAATTTGGAAATTAAGTTCCAAGAAAAAACTCAGGCACCTTTTTTTTTTTTTTTTATAAAGTTAACCTCGAATTAATGAAAGGAGGGGTGGGCAATCCACAGGGCGGATGCTCCAAAGAAAGAAATAAAAAATGAATAACAATCGTCTTAAGAAGAGGTTACAACCAAGCAACCCAAAATAAGACAACACCACCAAAAGGATCCAAGAACCAGCCATGCTTGCCGCTGCTTTTGCCAGGGTGTCAGCATCCTGATTGCCTTCTCTCCAGCTCTGCAACCAGGAGATGCTCTTATCCCTACATAGGTGTTCGATCTCCTCAAAGATGTTGGCCAAATACCATGGGAGAGGGGTGGGGGTGGACACCCATAAGATCACATTCTTGGAGTCACCTTCTATCGTAAGCGAGTCTAACCCAAGAGGCTCGATTAGTTTCAGGCCTTCCAATAATGCAGCGGATTCTGCTTCCGTAGAGTTTGTATGGCCAAGAAACTTAGAGAGAGATGTAATAGTAATACCGAGGTCGTCTCTGAGGAGTGCACCAGCTCCCAAAGGACTTGGGTTGCCCAGGGAGCAACCGTCGAAGTTAAGCTTGAAAGTTCCCTGGGCAGGAGGCCTCCACAATGCTGGCCTCGAATGACGTTTGCGGTTGAGGAGGGACGCCTCCCAATTCTGTGCAAAATCGGTGGCAGAGAGACCTTTGAAACTCTTGTGGTTAGTTGCCCAAAAAACCACTTCAGATTTAAGTTTGACGAGGGTGTTATACCACAATGAGTACTCTCCCCAGAAAATCGGGTTGTTTCGTTCAATCCAAATGGCCCACAAAGTGGCTGCCACCGCAGACTTCCATAGCAGAATGACTGCCTTTGCCCAAGGGAAAGGTTGGACAGCATTGACAATATGAGGTACAGAGGCCGGTAGCGCCCACTAGGCATTAAAGAGGCGTAGAAGCTCTCCCCACAAATTGAAGGCGTAGGGACAGTGTAAAAACAGATGAGGGTTAGATTCCTCGTCTTCCAAGCACATAACACAGCGGTTAGGTAACGAAATACCTCTTCTTTGGAGCTGGTCCACCATGAGAACTCTCTGAGAAAGAGCAATCCACATGAAAATCTTAATCTTAGGAGGAGTAAAAGATGACCAGGCATGTGCAATTAACGAAGTGGGAGGAAGTGGGAAAGTGGGGGATTGCACCAATCTCTGATACATAAAATTGACCAAGAAAATACCAGAGGCTACCAAGGTCCAAATAATGCAGTCCTCTCCAAGAGTGGCCAAGAAGCACGATTGAAGCTCCACCGATAGCTCAGTAAAAAGGGTGAATTCGTCGTCGTTTATGGCTCTTCTGAAATTGGGGTTCCAAGAGCGCCTCGAGCCAGTGACCGTCATTTCGTTGGCCACAGTAGTATTTGTGAACGAGCCAAAGAGAATAGGGCCGGAAATCTCTCTGAGATAGGAGAAAGACCAAGCCAAAGATCTTTCCAAAAGAGAATGCGAGTACCTCTTTTAGGAAGGTATCTGATGAACCGTTTAAAGAAAGAGAAGGCTGTGCAAATGGATTTCCATATCCCTGAAGATCTGAAGTTTGTGGCACAGTTATGTAACCAAGGGGTCAATGGCAGATGATATTTATGCCTCAGAATGTCAATCCAGAGATGACTGCTGAGTGTCGCCAGCCTCCAACACCCCTTTCCTAAAAGGGCGAGGTTGTGCAGTCTCAGGTTTCTAATACTTAGGCCTCCCCATTTCTTTGGTTGGCAAAGGATGTCCCAAGAAATGAGGTGAAACTTATGATTCACTGCCTCTCCTGACCAAAAGAACCTACACATCAACTGTTCCATGCGAGAACGGATGACAGCAGGCATGAGGAAGATGGACATTTGAAGCAGAGGGATGTTGGCGAAAGTGGCCTTGATTAAAGGTAGTCTGCCTCTCAGAGACAGGAAATGACCATTCCAACCTGCGAGGTTCCTGTCCACCTTGTCAATGATGTGGGACCAATCTCGCTTCTTAGGTTTGCTGATGCAGAGGGGTAGACTGAGGTACTTGGAGGAGAGCTTCTCTGCCCCACAACCCCAACTGTCTGCAAAAGACTTGAGAGTTTCAAAGTCCATGGCCACTCCCATCATTTTAGTTCTTTCCAAGTTAACTTTGAACCCGGTGACAAATCCAAAGCATCAAAGGAACATGAAAAGATTTGCACTCTCTTCTTCGGTGGCATTGCAGAAAACTGGGGTGTTGTCTGCATATTGAAGGTGGGTGACCGTGGGGCCCTGGTTGGCAAGAGAGAAGCCATTTAAAAGACTGGCAGAAAACACCCTAGAGATTGAATGGCTGAACACCTCTGCAGATATGGCGAAAATGAAAGGGGCGAGGGGATCACCCTGTCTCACCCCTCTGGTGGAGGGAAAGTAACCTTTTGAGGTTCCATTAATGAGGATGGAGAAGAAAGGTGGGGAGTAGCAAGCCTTCATCCAACTTCTCCACCTCGACCCGAATGGCATTCGAAGCTGGGTTTCTTCCAAAATATCCCAATCCACATGGTCGTATGATTTTTCCCAGTCCAATATGACGATGAGGTCCGGTGCTTTAGCAAGAAGTCTAGAGTGGACAACTTCGTGAGCAACCAAGGCACCATCGAGAATCTGTCAGTCAGTGATGAAAGCACTTTGGTTGGGCGATATAACAAGAGGTAGGACAGCTTTGAGACGGGTTGCTAGCACTTTGGATAAAATTTTGTAAGAGGAATTAACCAAACTAATGAGTCGGTAGTCCTTAAGCTCTATGGCACTATCAATCTTAGGAATAAGAGTGATATAGGTGGCATTCATGGTCCTGTGTATGACTCCCCTAGAGTGAAATTTTTCAAAAAGAAAAAGGAAATCATCTCGAAAGGATTCCCAGAAGACTTTAAAAGGGGCCATGGGGTACCCGTCTGGGCCAGGTGCCCTATATGAGTCCAGTTGGGAGATGGCCTCGAGGATCTCCATCTCGTCGAAAGGTCTCTCCGACCAGATCGTTTGATCACTAGGGAGAGAGAGGAAAGAGAGGTCCCCCATAACCTGCCTAGGTCCTCAGGGGGCTGAGAAGATATTTTTGAAATAGGAGAGGATAGCCTGTTCTATGTCCTGGAGTTGATCTAGAAGGTTGTCTCCCACCAGAAGATGAGAGATGGTGTTGCCTCTTCGCCTGCAATTAGCTGATTTGTGGAAAAAACCAGTATTCAAGTCACCTGCCTTCAGCCACTTGATTCTGGACCTTTGGTACCAGAAAATCTCCTCTTTCTTGAGAATAGAATGGTAGTTGAATGTCAGTTTCTCTCTGGACAGGGTTTTTGGGACCGACAAAGGTCTCGATTTGTCAAGGGTGTCGAGGGACTTGATGGCCTGGAGCGTAGACAGTTTTTGTGGTCCAAAAGAACCAAGTAGTTGACGACTCCAAGCTTTGAGATAACTTTTTAATAGCTGCAGTTTCCGTTGGATTCTAAAGCCAGCCCAACCCAGAACAGAGTTAGACCAAGATTGCCACCAAGCAGGAAAGAGGTCCGAAAGAGCAAGCTCTTCCAACCATGCGAGCTCAAATCTGAAAGTTTGGCTCCCCTTGCTGCAGGATTAGTGTTGAGAAAAATGGACAATGATCTGACGTCGGTTTGGGAAGGACAACTACATGGGTTCACGGAAAACACGAATCCCACTCGGTGCTAACGAGGAAACGGTCAAGTTTGGAGAGGGTGGGGGAGGAGGAGTGGTTGGACCAAGTGAACTGGGTACCTTGTATAGGTAAGTCGAGCAGGTTATTGAGGGCTACAAAATCTGAGAAGAGTTTCATAGCATGAGTAATTTTGTTGGAGTTGTTTCTTTCGAAAGACCATATGGCCACGTTGAAATCTCCCCGATGCACCAAAGGGAGTGAGGTAGGGAAGCTACAGAGTTAAGCTCTTCCCAAAGCAACGGTCTAAGAATGTCTTGATAGGGCCCATAAACAGCAAAGAATTTCCAGTTCAAACCAGGATCCCCCAATCCTGGTGAGAAGTAGGGAGACAGAGTACCTTGACACATGGGAAGAGGAAAGAGAGTGGGCTGTGGGATCCTAGATTACTAAAATGCCACTTGAGGCCCCCTACGAAGGAAGAGCCAGCCACTAGCAAGGACGTCTACCCCAAACTTGTCTAATCTAAGCCAAAGTCAGTGAGGGTAGTTTGGTCTCTGTAAGAGCTAGAATGGTGGGCCGATGCTTAAAACAAAAGTCATTTACTGCTTGCTTTTTGGGGCAAGCCTAGTCCCCGAATGTTCCAAGAGAGGATCAACATCGAACAGAGTTGGGGGGCAGGAGAAGCCTCGGGGACCGTCTCAGAGGAGTCCCATAAAAGGTCGCAAGAAGAGGTAGGGGAGAGAGGGAGCTGCTAGCAAGGTTGGAGACCTCGCAACAGATCTGCTTGCTGATCCATGGTCGAAGATAAGCACCTGCTTTGAAAAACTCAAGGAAAGGCCCATCGAGCCTAGTAAGAGGGAAGATATCAAATTTCTTCAACTGTCATTTTCGAGTTGTTATTGATCATATGGCAATTTGGTCCATTATCATTTGCATTGTAGGAGTCAAATATTTCTTAAAAATAAAAATCAAAATCATTTGAATTCTAGAAGTGTTTTGTGTGGAGGTGGTGGCAGCAGTCTGAAGGTAGTGACGTAGTGGAATGGTAGCAGTGGTGGATGGTGATGATAATGGTGGTGGCGGCATAGTAGTGGTGATGGTGGTGGGCAGTAGTGGTGGTGGAGGCGGTGTAGTGGTGGTGGTGGAGCAGGTAGTGGCCAGGTGAGGGTGGTGATGCTGCTACTACTGGTAAAGGTCACGGTAGTGACAGGATGGTGGTTGTGTAGAGAGAGAGTGAGAGAACTTGAAATTTTACAGATTCTGCAAAAAATTCAATTTGGAAGCTTAGTTGCAATATGGAATCAAATCAATTTTGAAATCCAAGCAAACCTTGAGGTCAAATTGCAGGAGACAAAATTCCAAATAGGCCCCTTTTTTTAATAAATTTTCACAGTAAAATTCCAAATGGTCCTTTGAGCTGTAAATCAATGGTGCCTAAGAAATTCCGCACTTTTCAGGTTCTTCGCTAATCATAAGTCCTCACAACCTAAAGATCCAAGCAACGAGCAGTACAAACATAGTTAAAAACTTGCCAATGAGCAGTACAACCATATCTTATTCGTATGTCAACTCTTCTAATTGAGAATTCATCATAAATTCCACTTAGAAGCCATGATAATGAACCACTTTTTAAGTTCATATTGATCCAAGTTGATCGACATGGATTCGGCACAAGTTTTTCTTTTAGTCTCCTCTCAGCATGTCTTGCCATTTAAGAACTTCAAATGCAAGCCGATAACTTGGGAAATTTGCTTACCATTCAAATGAAATGTGTGACCAAGATCCATAAAATACGAATTTAGACTTTCCTTTTCTCTGAAAGATATCAGACCTGTGCTATTTCATGTAGTTTCATAATTCATATCTTAATACCAAGAATTCTGTAAAATCTGTAGAGGTTACGGAGGTGGGTAAGATAAGATCTAAGTTTAGCACATCTTGAAGAAGGCAGTGGGTGGATGGTCAAGAAAGTCACTGATCCCCTGATTTGCAATGGAGTAACAAAATTTCATTGGATTAACTTTTTCAATAAAAGATCCTCACATGAGTTTCAATAGTAGCCTCTTTAGAAAGTTTGCTTCGAATTACGTAGTCAAACATGTCAAAAAGCATAAAAGTTCAGAATCTTAATAATATGTCACAGTTTCCCATGCATCAAAAGTTTTAACCACCAATGGACGGTCAGTTCCAAAGTAGAGTTCCACCCCTCACAGGCAACTCGATAAACACTCTCAAAAGATTTGCACCAGCAACATAACAGAAGAATTAGAAGTTGAATGATGCATACCAGGATTATTGTTAAGTACTCTCAGGGCCACAAGTGCATGTTCATGTTGACTAAACTCAATGAATGCCACTCCACGTGCTCTATCCTTTCTATTAACATTTGATTTCTTGGTATCCTTTAGAAGTTTAACCTGCATGTAAACAACATTACAAGGGAGTTAAAAGAATTGACAACTGAGAGTATGACTACCCAACATTACCCTGGATTGCATACCTGTCGAACCACAGGACTTTGTTTGCACGCTCGAGAACGAACAGCTTCAATGAAAAGCCTCTTCAATTCACTCTCTGTCATTTCTTTTGGCACATTGTAAACAATGAGCCGAGTTCTTGAAACATGGAAAATCGGATTTTGTAATTTAATAGCCTTTTTCTCAGCTAAACTGCAAAAGGGAGCCATAATAGCGAGTAAATTTCAGAGCAATGTCTTTCTTTGCTAATTGATAAAGAAAGACACAATGCTATATTACTAGGAATAGACAAGCAAAATACTTGACTAATGAAGGAATTCATAATAAAGCAGTTCACAACTGCCTAACATAATATTTAGTTCAAAAGCATCTCAATTTGTCACATCATTGACAAGTTTCTCCTATTAATTCTTCACATTGTATTTTCCTTGGTCTCATTGTTCTTGCGTAGGAAAACTAGGCTGGAACACACAACCACAAGGTTGTGACAGGAGACAGCTCCTAATAGAACAAAGGCTCAGACTTACTCCAATTGGTAAATTTAATCACAATAAATTTCTGTTTATAACTGCATGAAAAGGAAAACAAAGAATGGCATATTAAATGAATTACAATCCTACTGCCTTAACAATCCAATGCAAGCAATCTTGCTAGAAAAAAGCAGCACCATATACTTAGAATACCAATTCATGAATGGAGAATGGTCTACATCCACTCTTGGTAGGACAGAACGAACAAAATGATGGATCAAGAAACGGCAACTACAAAGAAGAGGAATCCCGATACCCAATTGTTGTGTTCTTTGTATGGTCGACGAGGAAACCAATGCCCACCTTTACTTGCACTGCCCGTTTGTTTTTAATCTGTTGGGAAAACTTCTTCGCCTCTTCAAAGTCCAGTGGGTGCTTCCTGCCACTGTACCCCTTGTCCTTACCTCCATCCAACCCTTCCCCTGGCCTAAAGCAGGTATTTTGCTTTGGAAATCCATGGTGGCAGCCTCTATTTGGGCAATCTGGATAGAGCAAAACAACAGGATATTTCGGGGAGATCACTCCTCATGGTACAATACTTTCATCAAGCTTAAATCCTTGGTGGTATTCTGGGCAACCAACCACAAATGTTTCAAAGGGGTCCCAACTTCTGCCTTTTATCAGGATTGGGCTGCTACCCTTCAGTATAGTTGACAGCGCCAACCTCGGGTGTCAAATTGGAGACCTCCAGGCCAGGGCCAATTCAAACTTAACTTCGATGGGTGCTCCTTTGGAAACCCCGGGCCTTCAGGTATAGGTGCGATCCTCAGAGACCATGCTGGCTCAAACATCTAAAAAAATATCGGTCACACTAAATCTATGGAAGCGGAGGCGATAGCATTACTGGAAGGGCTCAAGCTTCTTCAACCACACCGGGTAGAATACATTATAATAGAGGGAGATTCCAAGAATGTTATTTCTTGGGCTACCAATTCTCCCCCTCCCCCTTGGGTTTTGGCTCATATTTTTTATGAGATTAACCATCTTTGCAAGGATATGCACGTCTTATGGAGGCATACCTGGAGGGAAGCAAACCAGGCAGTGGACACTCTAGCTAAAGAGGTGGCTACTTTGGATGGCTTCTAGGATCAATTTTTTGGATCGGCATCTTTTTGTTGGTTGCTTTGCCTTGCTGTTAATGTAGCTTATGAAAAGATGGCTTTTTTACTTTTCTCTCTCACCCCCTATCTCAGAAAGGTATTTTGTACTCAGAGCTTCCGCCCTGTGGATAACCTAAACTCTGTGGTCCGCTGCACTCTTTTAGTCATCAATTAAAGGTTAACATTCTCAAAAAAAAAACTATAGAATTGGCAATTAATGAGCCTAAGATATATAACTGGAAATCTAGAACACAAATCAAAATGTGATGCTTGTGGCACATCAAAAATCAAACAAGCTTTCTAATGTCATTGACTTACTTTTGGCGCTTCAACAGATCATCCTTCGAAACTCCTTCAGCAGCAGGCGTACCCTCAAGAATTGCACCTTCCTATTGATATGAGTTGAATATGCATAATTGGTTAGTTACAACTAGCTATAACTGATTTTTCATGTGTAAGAGAATGCTTAATCCTAAAGAAAACCAGCAACCTTTGTAAGGTAAAGATTTCGTTGGTCATGTTCTTCTTTCTTTATCTTATTCAACTCCTTCTTATGGGCTGACTTCTTGTCTAATGCCTTCAAAACAGTAAGACGCCTTCCCTTCATAAGAATCCCCGAGCCAGTCTCTGCATTGCCAGTTGAAATTGCTGCATCAGCTGCCTCTGGTGTTTCAAACTTGATAAAAGCAGTTCCCTTTGGGCGCCTTTTAACAAAACAAATTGAGATTAGATAAAGTGCCCATAACAAAAAATAAAGGACCAAGACATATAAACATGGCACCAAATGGATGGTTAATAAGCTGAGATGGTTGCAGAAAGTAAAGACACATTGTTCAGGATCATAACTTACTTTGTTACTGGATGGAGAACCACAAGATAACTTCGCACTTTCCCAAATACAGAAAACTGTTGTTTAACATGTTCACCTTCAACATCAAATGGCAGGTTACTCACGAAAATGGTTCTCTTGAGTTCTTCAGTAGGATCATGACCTGGATCTTCTCTTTTTTTCAAACTCTCAGGGTTAAGGGTACCACTAACCTTACCAACACTGGCAGATAACTTGTTTCCTGACCTTGCAACACTTGGATCTTTACTGGCCTCAAGAGAATAGTTCTCTTTACTGGCAAGAGCTTGATTTCCATTTGCATTGCACTTGATGATATTCTCAAGAACTTTCTTCGTAATGTCCATCTCCTTCTCAGACGGCATTTCTCTTGGACTAGATTCATCTTCACTATGCTCAGGAAGATCTTCGGAAGGTTCAGCTTCAAAGCTTTCACTTATGTTATCCTCACTAGCCGAATCACCATTGTTTTCATAAGTATCATTCTGCTGTCCTGTGCACAAGAAAAAACACATGCCTCAAAAGGACGGTTGAATCAATGACTAGACAGAATCAATGAATAGACAGAAATAAATGTAACTGCAGTTTCCAGATTAAAAAAAAATGAATGACAAGAAACAAGAAATTAAGTTAGCCATGCATTCTATAAGAAAAGGAAAAAAAATTAAGGTTGACATTTTTATTATTTATTTATTGATAATCTAATGCTTAGAAACAAGTACAATGATATAGTAGATACCCAATTTCAAAAGAGTATTAATAATTTCTATCAGGGTCCTGCAGCAAATCATGGGCTTGGGATTCTCTCTTCTATGATTCATACCCCTTGAATGGATTTATTATTTACCCAAACAGAGAAGAAGGTTCCTGATCCTATCCTTCCCCCTCTTGGTAGGATTAAGGCCTGAGTTTTTAATTAAATTACATATTCAGAATAATTAAATAACGTGGAGACCCTAAGTATGGTTAACTTAACCCTAAAAATAAAAAGGGCAAAAGTTCAAAAATAAACGTCGCTGATCACCAGTCCTACCCCCACAAGAGTGCTTAAAACGGAGGTGAAGTTTCCTCAGTAGTTCAGCAGTAGGGTTCAAAATTGGGATGTTGTGTTAGAGTGATCAACACTTTAACCAAAGCATGCCCAAGCCCGATTCCTAATAGTGATCAAGTCTTTAAGCATGCTCTTGAATAAAAAACTTTGAGTCACCAACCTGCTTCCCCCGACAAAGTATAAAGAAACAACTTTGATAACACCTATAAATAATTATATCGATAAGACATATGAATGGTGATCAATAATGCAATTGGAAAGATCCATAGTACATCATCATCATCATCCGAGCCTTATCCCAACTACTTGGGATTGGCTACAAGAATTATGTTCCGACATTCCTCTCTATCAAGGGCCACACCTTCCGTCAAACCATAAGTCACCATCTCTCTTTTCACTACTTCCATCAATAATACATATGATAGGCATATGATATTTTACCATATCACAACAAACGCAGGAAAACAATCAAGGGACCACTTCTATCCAGCTCAAAAAAGCCAAGCCCTAGTGGGAGCAATGTTTGGATGAGAAGAACGGTAAAACGGCACCAACCTTGTTCCTTGGATTCATCCAATACAGCCGCAGAATCATAGATCTTCTTCGAAAGGGCCCAATCAACAGCAACAGGTCTTTTCCCAATTTTGTGTCCATTACACATACTGATCGCCTGAATATTAAGAATGCAAATTTTTTGTCATAATATATGGTAAAACAATATGTATCCATGAATAACTGTTGGGAAAGTCAAACATACATTTGCTGCATCTTGCTTGCATGTGTAGGTGACAAATGCAAATCCCTTGGATGATCCACTACAAAATGGAAACGATTGCATAAGACAGTCTGCCAAAGCACAGCAATAAATAGAACAAATTCAGTTCCCAAGCAAGCACACATTTACCCTTCACCAGTATTTTTGGGGATGAATATATCCCACACATAACCGGCTTTTGAAAATACATCTTTAATCTCTTTCACTGTAATCTGCACAGAAGTTCCAAGAAGTTAAGGCAACCATGAACTTCTTCCAAAGAAAGATGAGAAGGAGATAATGGGCTTTTGTAGTGGAAACCTTGAAAGGCAAATTTCGAACAATTAGCCGCCATTTCCTTGTCTTTGATCCCTGATTAGAATGCATATCAGACAATACAGAGTATAAGTTCAAAACAAAAGTTACAACTACTGCAAAAGCAAGAGTCTAGGAAATGAATAGATATAAAAAGTGGCATGAAGACTTTGACATCACATTCAAGACGAAGGAAAACATGAATAAACAAATCTCTTAGCGAAGCTTTGACACAAAGGCACTACTATAACAGCAAACATACTCAGATGTAGATCAACTCATACATAATAACATGTTTTGCTTTTTCATGCTGATGAATAGAATAAGTACAGATAATATTCCATTGATGATATAGCCAAAGGAATTTTGAGTAGCTAACAACATGAGAATGACAACCGTTATGACAAATTAATTCAGCTCCTACTCAAAGATAGATGGTTTTTTTTTATTTTTTTATTTTTTTTTGAGAGTGTTACAGTTATATATAGTAAGGTGAATACAGAGAGAAGAAGAGAAATGCTATTCCACAGATGGAAAGCAAACATAACCCTTATGAAAAAGGGGGGTGAGAGAGAGTAGAATCCAAAAACATCTTTTTAGTAGTTACATTGACAAAAACAAAGCAACCAACAAAAAGATGTCGATCCCAAAAAATTATCTGTCTATTGAAGTTGCTCCATCTTTAGCTAGTGTGTCTGCTGCCTGGTTTCCCTCCCTCCAGACATGCCTCCATGAGGTGCAAATATCCCTGCAAATGTAGTGACTATCATCAAAAAGGTGTGCCAAATTCCATGGAGGAGGTGAAAGTTTAGAAGCCCATGCGATGACGTTTTTGGAGTCTCCTTCGATAATGAGGGGCTCCGAGAGCTAAGGAGAACAAAGTTTGAGCCCTTCAAGAAGGGCAGGTGCTTCTGCCTCCGTGGAGTCAGAATGTCCCATGGATTTGGATAGAGAGGCTAGAGTGGATCCTGAGCTGTCCCTTATGAGGGCCCCTACTCCAGCTGGTCCAGGGTTTCCTTAAGAGCACCCATCGAAGTTCAGTTTGAGGCAACCCAGCTCAGGAGGTCTCCAACAAGAACTTCGTGATATATATTATGTTTTAGGATAGCAGTCCAATCATTGAAGAAAACAGTGTGGGGGATTCCTTTAAACTCCTTGTGATGGTTGCCCAAAACACCATAGAGGATTTGAGCTTGGCAAAACAGGTTGGGTAAGTGGATGAGACACCCCTGAAGATTCTATTGTTTCTCTCGATCCAAATAGCCCAAATGGTTGCTCCCACCACCGTTTTCCAAAGTAGGATCCAAATAGCTCAAAGATAGATGGTTAATGATATTCATAGGAATATTGTGTGCTTCGCTAGTCTGCCAGGTGTACATAAACTCTATAGCAGCAGACTTGGCTGCACAGGCAAAGACCACAGCCACAAGCTGATCATTCTTTACACCTCATGAAATTGAAGTATAAAAAATAGATTATCACTGGTCCCTTTCAATCAATGGTCCTCATTATAATCCCATCAATATAAGATTCTCATGTCATCTCTAAGGGGATTATAAACATACGAGTTTTGTTTATTTCCTACGTAATAGATACAAGAAGTGGTGAACAAACACTTAGAAGACTTTTAGTTACTGTTGGGTCACTCCCCGAATATTGACTCGCTGTTCTCCACCCATTATTCCCTTCCTGCTGCGGGAACTTTCCTTTGAGGGCCTCCATTCAAGCCACCCTTTGGGCTAGCTGGAACGAACACAATTCCCGCATTTTTGGGAACCAGCAGCAGTGCACAAGCAGTCGCTCAAAGGCAAGATCTCTCACCATCTTCTGGGTCTCCTATTTCAAACCCCTCAAACATTTCTCCACAGAGGACTTCCACAAAAACATCATGCCCTCCAGAGCCAACACTATCCCCTGATTGCACCAATGGATCCCTCCCTCTCTTCTTGAGGTACCAACAAGGTCAACATCAATGGACGCTCCCTAGCCAATACCGACCACTGTGGGGGTTTGGCAGAATCCTTAGGGATCACGAGGGAAAATTCTCTTAGCACCTTCTCCATTTACATTGGCCACAAAATTCCAACTGGACTGAGTCCACGGCCTTGCTTGAGGCCCTTAAAAGATTCGAACCAGCACGGGGACATCGCCTTATCGTGGAGGCAGATTCAAAGAATGTCATCTCTTGGGCCACACTGTCATCTGATCACCCTTGGAGACTGACACATATTTTTTATCATGTCTTCGTTCTTTGCAGGCCTCTTCAAGTCGACTTCCATGATACTTGGAGAGAAAAGAACCACGAGGCTGACAGCCTCGCCGAACAAGGAGCACAAGCAACCTCAACCACACCACAACTATGATGCACCGCCTCCTCTTGCCCTCTTCTATCATCTCTCTTGCTGGCCGCATTAACCTCTTATTGGCCTCTCCATCTACTCTCTATCCCCTTACTCTCTCCTCTTCCTCTCCTTTTCTGTCTTTCTCACTCTCTTCCCCTCTCCCTCTTTCCCTCATCTTTCCTCTTCTCTATTCTTTTCTTTACCTCTTCTCACTCTCTAATCACTCTCACACTCCCTACCCTCTTTCTCTCCCCACACACCCTTTTTCTTCTCTATCCTCTGCTCCCTCTTTCTTTCCCTCTCTCGCACCCTTTTCTCCATCTCTCCCTACAATACTTCGCGTTGCCTAGCCCTTTTCTCCAATTTCTTAGAGTATAGCCACTGCTTTATGTAAGTTTTTGTATGGAGCACCCGGCCTGTGGGATACCTTAGACTCACATCTTGTGAGTCCTTCTGTAACTATCTATTACCTAGAAATAAGTCACCTTCATCAAAAAAAAAAAAACAGATACAAGAAGTTGCAGAAAAGCTTTGTACTGTTCCAGCTGGGAAAATTTACAAAATGTGCTCCATTGAATGCATTATGGCCTCAGAACAGGAATATGTCTATGGAAATTTAAATTTGTAAGCTGAAGCTAATAAATCATGAGCTTAAAACACGAAAGAAAACCATCTCAGATTACAGGCAAAAGCTCCACACACCATCTACATATGAATGCACGACTTTCACACAGCTAAAAATAATACCAGAAGTGCCAATAACCTGGACAGAAATCACCACTCAACCATACACATTAGAAACCAGATATAGCATATCCATAATCGCAACAGTCTAGCATTACTCTAGAAAAAACACATTTTTCACCAAGCGTTTTGACAACCTATGTTTCAAGGGAGTCCAAATTATAAGTTATGAAGCTAATATTTTTTTCCTTCACCCAAAGATGTTTCTCACACCACAAACAAAAAAGTACCACAGAGAACTCACACATTCCATGCATGAAACAAAACAGCTCCATCACGGAATCCAAACGCACAAGGAACATGCCGCTATATCATACAATGATGTTGATTTGGCAAAAGGTAGGAATCCATGACAGTACCTCCCCACCCAGTTGGCGTGCCCAAACACATTTACCCTTGATCTCCCGTTGATGCAAAGAGACAACAGCCGCACGTGCTTCTTTGACGCTAGTGAAGAGTACAGATGAAGCATCCATAGTACAGCCATCTTTGCCAAGTCCTAGCGCAATAGCATGAACATAACCTCGACAATCAACACGGTATCTCAATTTACAAATTATGGGCAAAAATATTCTACATACCAAATATGCTTGTTCAGTTTATTGGGTTCCACATGATCAGTAGTTTGTATCCATTGTAGAGATTTTTATGCAAGAACATTGTATCAATCTACCATAATAGAAAATAATGAGGATGGCTGAAGCAAATAGTATTCTGCAAGTACAAATAATACAAGTTGCCCCCATAATCACAGATACTATGGGGCAAAAATCCAAGTGCTTCCATAATATAAGCTTTTCAAAATTACTTGCCAAATGTATTACCAATGAGCCAATATGAGGCAGGCTAGAAGCCGTTGACTACCCACAATACAATTCAGATGTTACATATCAGTCTGAAAAGAATATTGAACATAGCACTCTTGAATATTTCCAGAAATAATCACAATACCAAAATATTGAGAGAAACAGAACAAGAACTTCAAATAAGTAGCAACAAGAATTATGAATTAACTTAGACAACTATGAGACACAACAGAACATATTTACCAGTTGCAAGAAGTCTAAAATTCAAAATTTATGTTAAAATTATCTTCTTAGAACAGACTAACTCAAATTCATCTCAGTGCTTCAAGATGACAAAGGGGCAATCAATTTTTCTTTTTAGAAATGCTAATATATGATGGGAAATAAGTCAGATAATATTGCTCCGATACATAAATAAAACATAGAAGTGCATGGTGCGAGGGACAGCAGTAAGAAAAGAACAAGAAAGGGATGGGTTAAGAGGGAGGAGACTGGTCTAATGTATTGGTCCTCCCCTGTATTTCCACCCTGGGCTAACGAGTCCACTAATCATTAACGATCCCCAGCATACACTAGAAACTCATTGAACTCCCACCCGAAAAGTAACAAATTTCCTCCTAACATCAACAGGCCTCCAATGATCGAAGAATCCCCTTCAATGATAAGAGGGCCCAAGTACGAATGGAAGGAAATTTTAAGTCCAATGATAACCTCAGATAAACTTACTGGGTTTTTACTTTTTAGAACCTCGCACTTGCGGCACTGGGAACATAAAACAAATTCCCACCCAAGATCATGGAGGCATGACAAATAGAAATCTGCTATCGCAATGACAGATTACGAACATTGGGATACAAGATATACCTCACTCTAACCATCGTCATAGCCCGTAATCTTCCCTTCTAAAACCTGCTTTCCCAAGGAGATTTTGAGACACTCTACTCACTCCAAGACAGGCATCTACACGGCTTGTATTATTCTTTGATAATGACTAAATGAAACTTGCATCTTACTATTTCTTTGCCATTGGAAACACCTCGAATACGTTCAAGCTTCTCAATTACTGATCATGGCTCTTGCAGCAGTGACATAATAGATTGGAACAGAACCTGTCGTTGACTTAATGTTATTTACTAAATGAAACTTGTATCTTACTATTTCTTTGCCATTGGAAACACGTAGAATACGTTCAAGCTTCTCAATTACTGATCATGGCTCTTGCAGAAGTGACATAATAGATTGGAACAGAACCTGTCGTTGACTTAATGTTATTTGCCCAGCCATAAAAAATGGAAAATTAACAAACGTCTGCATGAGTCAACAACCTCTACATCAATTCATCCCACTTGAGTAAGCATAAATTGTGCCTCCTGTTATTTATTTTCCATAGTTAATACCTCCGAATACTGATGATGCGCAAAGTGCATCAAGTGGACAAAGGGACAAGTACCCTCAATGGGTGCAGCAGATTCCTCCTAATTCTCGTGCGCATTTGGAGGATGTGAATTCTAGGAGGGCTACAAAGAAGAAAACGAGAGCAAGCATTGTTTGGGATGATTTTCTAGTTATTTCAGCAATTTTAATTGCTGGACCAGTTGGGAATATTTTGTTATTTTATTTATTGTTAGTGTCATTTATTTTTAAAGTCACTTAAGTTAGGACATATGGGTCAATTGATTATCTGTATATACACTTTTTGTCCTTGGATTGCTAAATAATACTATTAAGAGGTGCATGGGGCCCACAAAGCGGTGGTTTTTTTCAGAGGGAGGAATAAGGGAAAGGAAGCTTTTGCTCCTTTGTTAGGGTTTGAGAAAGAAACCCTAGGTTTATTATACCGGTTGCGTGGGTTTGGCCTGAATTACTGTCGTTTTCTGTTTTCCATCAATTTTCCTACATCAAATACATTCAAGCTTCTCAACTACCAAGCATGGTGCTTAAAGAATAGGCAAATTAGATTGGGATAGAACTTATTTTTGCCTAGCTAGTATTACTAGCCTGGCCATTAAAATTAACAAACCTCTCCATGGGTTCAACCACCCCTCTCAATGACCAGGTCAAACAAGCAATGACAAAAACTGATGTCAAAGGATCCACCTTACATCACATGGGCACCACTGCAAACAATGTCAATCAGGATTTCCCACGCAAGCACACTTGCAAATGCTGACTCAGTGACCCATAGCAATCTTGAAGATGCAGAAGATGTGTCAGCAAAAATTCAGAAGATGAAACACTTCTACACACGTTCAGGTTCAGCTTGAGAGTAGATTGGTTAAGGTATTAATAATGCAACTCCACATCCTAACCTCAGTCTTAACACTAAACTACCAACCAAAAAAACAATTTCTGGAGATGCTGAAACACCTATTCTCCAACAGGTTTCAGCAATCCGAGGCTCACTTTCCAATTTGAAGCATATGACTACAGAAGATGACTCCCTTAATATGATGTAGCATACCCCTTGCCCCATTTGACAAGTTATCAATGTTCTTTACATGCAATCACTGCATGTTGAAACACTGATCGAATCCATTCAAGCTCCAGCCATTATTCATTTCTCTACATTAGTTGTCCATCATAGTAGAGCTCATACATCCTCCCCGGACAAGCCCCAAGTCTATCATAGACCACGTCCGGTGCCAACTAGTGTGCTCATGACCAATGTTCAAAAACACGGAGGCGGTCGCCTAGGCGGTTTGGGCTCTAGGCCACCTAGGCACCTAGGCGCCTAGGCGGGCGCCCAGACACAAAGGCGGCCTGCCTTTTGGGGAACTGCATATCCTTCCGGATTTTTGGCCCCCCCACACCTCCCCCCACCTCATTTTATACAGAAATGATTTTTTTTATTTAATAAGTTTTGTATATAATATATTGTTCAGAACTCAGAAGTCAAAAGTACAGATAAAACATAAACATTTGCGATTTTAGACTGTAAATTAAATAGTTAAAGTTATGGTTTATGGATCATACAAGTAAACTCACATTTAAAACTAAAAAAAAAGGGTAAAAAACAGTATTCACTCAATTTGGGGGCAATGGAGTTTTTTTATTGAATTGCTTTCCCAAAGACCCAAACCACATATCAAAATGGGTAAGTAATAATGCAAATAGTCAATAACATATCAAATATATATCATAAAGTATCACAAAAAAAAAACACAAATAGCAAAGAATAACATCATAAGACATTGTGAAAAAAAACAAATACATAACCTAATAAAACTATTGAAATATACCAATCTTCTTGAAGTGGAATCAATATCGGGCCAAATCCAAATGTTTTGGTTCCCAAATCTCCTCTTTTACAACCACTTAAAATCTCAAAAAGATCGGGGATGAATATCCTATAATTTCATGACCATTCGAGGAGGTCGAAAAAAAATTTCGATCTCTCTACAAATCTTCAAAATATTGTTTTTTCAAGTTTCCTCTCACTCTAAACTTCATTAACAGTGTTTTGGGGAGCAAGAATGGCTCCCAAACCCTTTTCCCCCCCCTTTAGGGGGTAAAATAACGATTTTAGACATTACCCGATTTTTTTTCCGCCATTAGGCGAGGCGGCGCCTGCCTTTTATGCTGCCTAGGCGGGCGCCATGAAGGACCCGCCTTAAGCAGGCCGCCTAGTCCACGACTTGGCATTTTGGGAAAAAAGCCGCCTAGGCGGCCGCTTAGGTGACAAGGCGGTCGTTTTTTCGTTCATTGCTCATGACAAAAGATCAAATGAGAAAGTATCATTTCAATTTATTTCAATGTACACTTGAGAATCTCCTTCACCAATATCCGCCAAATACCATAGAAAGAGGGGCTCCCTTGAGGCCCAATGTATAACATTGAGGGAATCACGCTAAAAAATAAGAGGCAAAGAATCTTCATATGGCCTCAACCCCATTCGAACCACCAACTCTTTAACATGGGGTACAGTCATGAGTCCCCTCTTGTGCTATCTCTAATTACTACTCCCACACTGGCAAGAAGGCCTAGATTATCTAGGAAGCTACCATCGAAGTTGGCTTTGATGGTTTCAACCAATAATATTAAGACCGGACCAGTGGCCAAACCAGTGGTAGAACCAATCTAGTCAAACTGGACCAGTTCAACAGTCAGAGCGTCAAGTAAATAAAAATTAAAATAATATAGGAAACTATAGAAAATTTTGTGAAAAATGAAAAAAAAAATTATGGAAAACCAGAAAATATGGAAATTTAAAAACAACTCAAAAACTTATTGGGAAGTTTCATCTCAATAACATATAAAGTTATAAACTATAAAGAAAACTGAAAATATACGAAAAAAAGACAAAAACTCGTAACTAGAAACAACTACCATGGTTCCCTATTTTCCATAGACACATCTAGTAATTAAATGATCAAAAAGATTAAAAAATTCATTTCTTTATATAAAATTATAAATAGGAAACATTTCTTTAGATCAAATTATAAATAGGAAACATCCTCCATATATGAAAATTCTCCATATTTCAATTGAAGCATTAAAAAATAGATAATAAAATGAGACAAGTAATTGAAAAAAAATCAAAAAACCAAATAGTTATACAAAAAAAATGCACAAAATCCACAAATAAGAAAGCGCCTACAACAACTTAAAGATTACAGCTAAAAAACCTTCATAATGAATGCAAGAAACACCCATTGCAATTATTTGGGGAAGAAAAAATCATTATTTGTAAAAACCTTAAAAACAAAAAAAAATCAAATTTTTACCTTTTTAGATCTAAAAAACATAACTAAAGAATAAAGAGAATGGACTAACTTAGGGCTTGAGATCTTCGGATTTCGTGGCCAGAACAACCTCTGAAAGTCGCAGGTCGATCATCCAAATTTAGGGTTTCTTCAATTTAGAAAAAGAGAAAAAGAATCATCAAGATTCAATCTCTTTCATAAACGTGTTTCTAAACTTGAAAACCGACCAAAACATTATTATTTTTACCAAAACACCCCTTATCTAAATCAAAAGGATGAAAAACCCCAACTAAAAATGGTTTAAATTGCCAAAAGAAAAAAGGGGGGCAAATTTCAGTATTTTTTAGTCAGTATCTAGCCTGGCTGGTTTGGTAGTGGATTGATGGACCAGCCGGTCTAGACATTGGACAGGACAATCCACCGGTTCAATGGACATTCTGATCCAGGAGGTTCGACCAGAGCGGAATACACGCCGATTCACCAGTATACTTTCCGGACCGGCTGGTCAAGTCCAGTCTTAGTTCACCGGTTTCAACATCAGGAGGGGCACAATAAGCTGTGGTATGGATCTAGACTTAGCTCTTAGAGCAGCCGTCATCAAATCAATAATGAAATCCTAATTCCGGAGCTCTCACCCCACAAAAACTGGCTTTAGTACGAACCAAGGAAATGATCACATCTCTTATTCTCTTGTAAGGCATGGCGCAGTGGGTTGTAGGCCAATAAAGATGGCACTATTATGTTCCTTCCAAATATCGTAAAGGATCGCTGGAGGCACAGGTTCTCGAGCAAGGACCCCTACCAACATTCTTGCAAACAGTTACTTGGCAAAAGAGGTTGTGACAAAAATATATTTGGTAGTTATTCATTTTGACACAACCAACTCTGTTTCGTACAGACTCATGTTTGCATTAAAAGTATTACATGGACATCCAAGTTCGGCGATCAATGATAGGACATATAATTAACAATAAGAAAAAAAAAACCTTCAAACATCAGGCAAGGGCCACCGAGGAAGGCATCACACAACTCATTTGAAATAAACCCAGAAAAAACTCCACACGTGTCAGGTAACACATCAATGAATTAGGAGTGATCCACTGTTTCCTCAGCTTCTCAACAAAAGAAGCATATGCAGGGAAACTAAAAGCCTCAGTGCTGCAAACGATGACAGGTAAGAGCTTTCTTAAGTTTTGCCAGCCATCCAAAAGCAATTGCTCTTGGTGTGGCCATGGACCATATCACTCATGCAAGTGGGCTAAGCGCTGTGCACAAGAAAAGAGCAAAAAGATCCCAATGAGATTGTCCCGACCTTTTAGAGAAAACTGGCCAACCACTCACAGTATATTGAAGCTACATTCCTAAAGGTTTCTCCGAAAGGAAGAACACCACTTTGATAGACTACCCTCCCAACCCCCCACATCACGACCTCCCTCAATCCCCCATCGGCCCATCCCCCATCTCCCCCCCCCCCCCTCCCACAAAAAAAAAAAACACAACTAAACTTAAAAGGAATCCCAAAATACCATGAAAGGGTTGGTGCCAACCTGGTAAGGGCTGGGAATCATGACAACCAAAAAGCTGCCCCACACCAAGAGTCAAGCCAAAAGAGTAGTCTCACCCCATTCCTCACTCCAAATCTAACACCCTCCTTAAACAAATAGTCCACATTGAAAATACCTCTAATTCCTCCCAAAATAAAACTTTTGATTCCACCTTTAAACTCTCTATGATAACAAATGACTAAAAATACACCACAATCTCCAACTCTAAAAATAAATAAAATAGCTAAAAAAATTGAACTCCAATTTTCTAACGGCATCAGAGTGTGTAATGAGTGTAGCGGAGATGAGGATGTTGAGATGGATGAGTGACAAGACAAGAAGGGATAGAATTTAAAACAAATTCAAAAAAATTGGGAGAATTTAGGTGTGGCACCAATAAGCGATATGATGAGAGAGAGTAGACTTAGGTGGGCTGGCCCTATGTGGCGCCGACCAAGTACAGCACCTGTTAGGAGGTGCGAGTAAGTTCAAGTGGAAGGACTTAAAAGGGCAAAGGGTAGGCCCAAAAAGACATGATTGGAAGTAGTTCGAAAAGATACAGGGACTTATGGCTTCACTGACGGTATGACCTTTAATAGAACAGAATGACGGAGCGGGATTCGCGTGACCGATTCCAATTAATTGGGAAAAGGCTAGGATGACGATGATGATGATCAGAGTGTAATGTTACATCAAAATCCAGAATCCATATATTGTTCTCCCTTATTTCATGAAATGATAATAGAAGTGAAACTGCTTTGTATAGCTTTATAAAGGAACTTGACCCCATATACTAGGGGTAGCAACAACAATCACCATAGCACATGGCCAATGATGATTGACCTCTATTATCATCAAAATTCATTTTATTGAATCTTAAATATACAAAAGCAAATCCAAATGACTATCACATTATTGTCCCATGAATAAACAAAATTGGCTGGAAATATTACAAACCATGGAATTCAAGATCTTGTTTCAAAAGCGAAGCAATAGAACAAACAGAACCAATTTCCCCAGCACATCGAAACACTTCTTCAGCCATCTCAGCACCATCAAGCCCACCAAATACAACGGTTTTAGCAACCCTGCAGAAAGACCATAAGGCCCATTCATTATGCAAAAGAAGCCATTACATTTAACTTAAACACCATTGAAGCATCTTATAAAACAAAGAAAATTTTTCAAGTTCCTTGTGACATAAATGACCATTAATATGAAAAAACAGATTTCACAGACACATCAGTGACAAAGCAACATTCGAGTACTGAAAGACCACAGAAAGCTACAACAGGATCTGCTGCTAATTGTACGTCTGGATTTGGATGCAAGCAGAAAATAAGTGCATTATTTACATTTTATAAACCAAAGGAACTCCTCTACAACATAACTTCACCATTTGTAGAATTTGAGTACAACTTGACTTTGCTAGTTACTCAAACCAGTATATGAACTCGAACAAATCCACGCCTGGGTAATGGTTTATAATTAAAGATCGCCACCTTCCCAAATACTCACAACTAAGAACTTCAATAAATAAAAGATTTACAGCTCTTTTTTTAAGAGAATAACATATTTACAGCTTTTACACATGCAACTCCCAAATGGAGTACTTAAAATAAGAACATTCTTTATTCTCCCTGGTTGATCAAAAGATGTTAATCAAGGTATGTTTTGAAGGAACGTGGTCGAGTAACAAGAAAGTCATAATGTCATATCTCATCCATGTATCGAGTAAGTGAAATTAGCATTTCAAAGTTTCCTTATTTTTAACTAATGAATTTTTATTTTTTGAAACAAGAAACCGACGCAAATTTATATCTATTACCTGAACTCATATTTGTCACTTCCAAAGTTTTGATTTGGATAGTTCACCTATTAGTGTGGATAAGGTACAAGGGCCACTCAAAGATTACTTATCTTAGTACATTTTGTAACAGACATAATCTTGGTATTCCAATGGGATCCACTGCACGAGTGCATAACCGTACCCAAGTTCCAATTGTGAATCTTTAACACGGTTTCCTAGAATAAGCTATCCAACAGTTTCAAACTATTTCTTCACATTTTAATGTAACGTCTCACAACTTTCTCAGTTTAACTTCAAGTTTTTTTATCATGATCTCGGAATTTTTTTATTTTTTTATTTGCTTAAGAAGAGAGCATCTCACATCTTTCTTAGTTTAACTTCAAGTTTTTTTACCATGATCTCGGATTATTTTTTTTGCTTAAGAAGAGAGCATCTATACATGTATCATCTGATTATCATGGCTAACAAACACTTGCTGCATCATCTTCAAATGAATACATCACAAATATATATATAGCCAAGAAATGCATACAGATACATCTATGAATAAATGATTCCTAGGTCATAATGTTCAGTCATACCATATTTTGTTCCATTGTAAACAAATACATCCATGGATGGTTCCACAAGCCCAAGCAATTTATGCGCCATTAGTATTTTTTGAAGAAGACAGGCACGAATTAATCCAGCCTTTATATTCACTTTAATAAGAATTAAACATTATAAGCAAATATGGTTATTACAAAGGGTTATAAGCAAACAGATGGCACGCCAAAAACAGAGTTATATCATATTAGTAAGGGAAAAGAAAACATTTGAGAAGAGGACCTAATAGGAGTAATGGAAGGTAACTACATCTAATCAGCTAGCCTGAAGCAATATCCACCCTAATGTCAATGAAAATTTCCAGCATAATTTACATACAAGATCCTACAAATAAAACAAATGACAAAATTAATAGCCATCAGGATAGCAACGATTTTTTTGTTGAGTTAGGACAAAGATGCTTTGAGTTCAATGAAATTTGTGAAAAGCCCTTTTTTTGAGGGGAAACAAGGGCAAGAGTTTTTGCAAATATAAAAGCAAGCACCTCTGCTTTTCAGAACCATCTCCTTTGTTCACAAGTTTATTGCCAGAAGCATCCATTTGTTGCAGAGAACCTTCTGATTTTCCTGAAAATAGAAAGGAATTATAATAAAAGAAAGATATGACCCAAGTCTATGAATCCATTATCCAACAACAATGTCATCATTTACTGCAATGACTTCACACAAACAAACGCAAGAACCTGTCATTCTTGTAAGTATGATCTTGGCAGTACCTCATTGACCGGTAAATTGGAAATAAACCTATTGAAAGTGGATGTCTTGCATCCAAGGCCAAAAAATTCGGCCACTTAGGCAGCCAGCACACATGGCCATAGTGAAGTAGCCTAGAGGTGTGACCTAGGTGGATTTGCCTAGGTGCCCACCTGGCCTAGGTAGAGAAAATGCCCTCCATCAAGGGCAAAATATGTCACACCCCCCCCCCCCCACCAAAAAAAAGAAAAAAGAAAAAGAAAAAAACCATTTTTGATCGTTTTAGAGAGACAAAAACCTCCAGGACACAAGATTTTTGAGATTTCTGAAGACTAGAAAACTTTTCAAACTTATTTTGTCGTCGATTTTTATTTGTCTAAGGATCGAAAAATTGATTTTCATTCCTAAAAACTAACCCCAATAAAAGATAAAAAGTCTACTACATCCTTAAACATCAATTTTTAAAGATAAAATACATAAAAAATATTTTAATCAATCTAATTCTTGAACGTCTCAGATGCGAGATCATTGTCTTCATGATATTCGGCAATAGTGACTTCTTTTAACAAAGTTTTAGTTTTGTTTTTCAGGATTTGATTAGGTGGAGACATCTTCTTCTAGTTCCAATAAACGCTTTGTCCAAGGTGGAGATACGAAGCATGCCCAAATCCAAATGAAAAGAATTTTGTTGAGTGCAAATTTTGTAAGAAATGCTACAACGTCGGCATTAATAGATTGAAGAAACATTTGGTTGGGATTAGAGGGGAAGGAGCCCGATGTACTAAAGTCCCAGTAAAGTCAGGAGAGAGATGTAGGCCCATTTGCAGTGTCAAAAAGAAGAAAGAAGCGGTGAAAAAAAAGGCTTGATGACATCAACAGATTGGTTGATATTTGGTGAGAAAGAGAAGAGAAGAAGTATATGCTCAAGAAGGAAGCTCTAGTAGTAAGCAATTGAAGACTGGGCAGCGAAGGTCTCAAGCAAAGCGACTTATGGATTCTTACCCCCCCCCTTTCCCCCCCACCCCAAACAAATCTTGAGAGTTCGATAAAAGGGACAAACAACAATAGACAACCGCTTCAAGAAATAACTAAAGGAGGTCCTACTCAATGCAACTAGCTTAAAGAGCTTCCAAATCATGATGGACACTGTGCAGCAATATCAGCCAAAATATAAGGTTCCTACACAATATGATCTTAAGGAGCCCTACTTAAAAAAGAGGTGCAACTCACCATCATTGTTTCAAGACCACAGAGATGCATGGGGTCAGTATGACTCACCATAGTGACCTACACATGGACCGCTAGAAGGCAAAGGAGTGTTATCAACTTGAGGGTGAATTGCCTCATGGGGACAATGTTCTTGTAGTCCATTGACACATTAGAGAATATTCATGATGCAGTGTTTACTCTTAATATGGGAAAAAATGCATTGAGGAGGTGGGAGAGAGTAATGTAGCGCAAGTGGTTATACACATGGTTGCAGACAATGTGAAGATGAGGAAGCCACATATTTTTGGACCCCAGAAGCTCACTACATTGAACCCATGCTTGACGCGATTAGCAAAATGAAAGCAGGGCCTCAACTCTTAAGAAAGTAAGAGCGATCACGATATCCAGATACAACCGCAAAGAGCGATCACAGTATCCATATACAACCGCACCTATGCGTTGGCCTTGATGAGGAGGTTCAAAAGAAGGACTTGGTAGGCCTAGGTTAACTAGATCTGTCGCCTCTTAATTTGTCTTTGCAGTCTAATTTGGCCCAAAAAGACAAGCTCCAGGTCATGTTTGTATCTTAAGAGTGAGAGCAAGTGGGAAGACAATGACTGAGTTTTTTGAACAAACTTTTAGCATGGGGTTATCCAAACTCTCCAGGCCTTCGAACCTTTGGTTAAGGTTTTGCACATTGTGGACAGTCTATGGGTCATATTTACCGAGCAATGGAAGTTGCCAAGGAAGAAATTATGAAGAATTTTGGATATAATGAAGAGCATTATTCTCCTATTTGAAAATTGTTGAAGAAAAATGGAACTCACAGTTAGAAAGGCCCTTTCACCTAGCAGGGCATTATCTCAAACCTGAATATTTTATGATAATCCTTAGATCAATACTATTGGATGTTTTATGCTTGCAATCAACAAGTGCTTAATGAGACTGATCCCTAATATAGAAGAAAAATACTAAGTGTCAATGGTGCTGGACAAGTACAGATCATCAAGATGGAGATGCACGGAATTGGCAATCAGGCAAAGCAAAACATTCTTTCCAGTAAGTTTAAAGTTTGCTTCTCCATTGTCATTTGTGATTAGAGTAACATTCTTTCCAGTAAGTTTAAAGTTTGCTTCTCCATTGTCATTTGTGATTTGAGTACTTGGTTCTAAGCCTAACTTCTAAGTATCTGATTTGACTTCTAAATATAGCTATATATTATCATACACTATTTATTTTTATATAATATTGTAATGTAGGTTAATGGTGGACAATAACAGGCAAAGTGCTAGTTACTTGTAGAGGATGGCTATGTGCACAATCAGCTTGAAATGCAGCTCATTTGCTTGCGAGGCAGAACTTTAGTTCCTTTGGGATGGTAATTTCTTGACTTATAAGCTGGCGAAGAGATTGTTCTCAAGATCTATGTTGTGGTTAAAAATTTCCCGTTTTAAAGAGAGATAGGGTTTAGAAGAGATGAAGGGCAAGCGTCGCCATTACAGGCCTTTGCTAACCTGGAATCACATTACGACCTGTATCCTAAGACGCACCTTCCTCTTTCCTCTTCTATTTTACCCCTTGTTCGTCTTCCTCCGAAGACTCCTTCCCAGCAAGCCAGTAGCCGCCTTGCCTCTTTTGCCCAAGTAGTTGCTGCCCCCAAACCAGCCACCCTCCTCTCCTCGCTGCCTCTTCCTCTCCTGTACCTCTTTCTCTTTCTCCGCTCTTCCCTTTCTATGTTCCCTCCTCCCTTGCGGCCTCAGAGGCTTACAAAGCCAGGCTTGCAGCCTCCCTCGTGGGTAGCTTGAAGCCTAGAAGGGATGACCTTACAGGTATAGAGATTTGGGACCTTACAGGTATAGAGATTTGGGCCGGGCCAAAGGCCATTGGAAGGAGCCTAATATCATTTACAGTCTCCGGCTGACAGGTCTTGTTCTCCTTCCCATCCTCATCAGGAGCCCAGCTTGCCCTACAGAAATCAGTTGCTCTTTCTTTCAAAGGGGCCTCCAGCTCCCTATGGCCTTGGTCTCCGGAAGATGGTTCCTTCAAGAAACAGCGGATCTGGCTCACCCTTTCCCATATCCCCCTTCATGTGTGGTCACCTGAAACCTTCAGGAGAATAGCGGCTGCCTATGGGTCTCTCATCTCCATTCACTGGATCTCCATTGAATCACTCCCCCTGGGAGCCATCCGCCTGCTCTTGGAAGTCCTTGACTCACAACGAATCCCCCAAACGGTGTGGCTTGAAGCTGAGGGCCTCTTTTTCCCCGTCTCTACCTCATGCCTCGCCTACCTCCCCTAGGCTCTTGCGACAGGAAAGTCCTATTCCGGTGCCGAAAAACCCAACGTCTTGGACGGTGGTGGCAAGAAGAAAGCGTAACAGACGTAGGCCTCTGAGACATCCCCCTGACCAAGGCCCGCTTTAGTCGGGAGGTTAGTTCAGCTACAGGACCCTGACCCGACTCTCCAGACTAAGGGAGGAACACCCGAAAATGACACTGTAGAGTGGCCCGCTGATTCGCACCAACCAGGGAAAGAAGTCATCAAGGACTCTACCCCCCCCTCTCTCCTTCGCCACCCTCCATGCGCCCCATCTTTTCACCTACCCCAGACCACCTGGCAGCCGATAAGGCAGTCCCCACGTCCTTATCCTTGACGCAGCCGCCCTCCGCAGTCCAACCGTCCCCTCCCGGGTACGGAACGCTGCCCTCGCCACTCCCCCCCATGTCGCCCTCACGCATCGTGCCGGAGCCCCCATCGCCCCTAGGCCACGAGTCTTTGATTCCACCGGGAAGAGCGTCCCCTCGCCGTCTCCATCTTCCTCCCCTCCCCTCTCACCTTCACTTCCTTCCTCCCTCCTTCCAGTAGAAGCTCCAAGAGTCCCAAATGAGCTGAGCTCTACGTCTCCTCAGCCACAGGTTAACTCGAAGGGACCCCTTCTTCCCTTCTTTCCCCACCTAATCCCTCCTCCCCCGCACCCTTTCTTTCTCTCTCTTTGGCCTTTTTCCCCTAAAGACCTGACTTTCCCGGCCTGAAGCTCTCGGACCCTGTTCCTCCCAAAGACTTGGTCCCCCTTGGATTAGTTGCAGCTTTCTCCATGGACCCAGCCCCTCCTGACCAAGCTTTCCTTTCGAACCTGCTGACCCCTCACATCACCTTTGTCCCTCACCTAGTCCATATCCGTCACCTCCAAACCATCCAAGTTGGCCCCCATCCTTTCCCTTTGCCATTTCCACCTACTCCTCCTTCCAATCCTACGTTTTTCTAGCCTACCTCCCTTACTCCCTTTATTCTCTTTCCTCACAGGGCTTGTTTGCACCCTCTGCCCTCTCGCTTTCACCCTCACCAGTTAACTCACCCCTTGGACCCCCTCCTTTCCTACCCTTTCCCCCTACCGGCGCCCCTCCTACCTTCCAACACTCCCTTCAGCAGGCATCGTCAGTGTCTGCTATTGTGCTCCTTCCCCCTCTCAGCTCCCCCTCATTCTTTTAAAACTTCTCTCGTGACGCTTCGCCTAAGCGTGGCACTTTGCCCCTCCCCTCTTTTCCCACCGACCTCTACCCGTCTAATCCCTCCTCTACTTGACCTGAACAAGCCCACCCAGAACACAATGATCTCCACAAGCTCCTAGTTAGATACGATGGATCATCAGAGAATTTTCTGGACTC